AGTACAGATATTTTTCCAGCTACTAGACTAAAGAGAAACTCAAAGGTTAGAAGGCAGTTGTCATTTTTAAGGAGCATACATGGCTCCTGAGATTTGTGCAATGTATGATTTGTTTTATATACATATATATTTGGGATGCACCAACACCATTTTTTTCCAGACAAAGTACAAGCACCAATACTTGTCCTCACAGATACCAATTACTGATACCTTTTTTTATTGCCATGTGACAGTTTTTCTAAAACAATACAGACTAATGATTTCAGGACAGTGGTGGAGCGTCAGAGCCCAGTCCCAGCTGCAACCTCTGCAACCCTGGTGGTTCTTGTGAAAATGTCAAGTATAGGCACTGGTATCTGAACTGGAATATGTGCATCCTAAAAATTAAGTTCAATGTATTATATAACACCATATACAGTATGCCTAAAACCTATATATAATAATATAGGACCACTTGTTATCTTTAAATGTTGCTTCTCAGCTTCAACTGTTGCCCTAAAATCCATGTAATTACCATGTTGCTGCAGATTTGTTTTCTTGTAAGCTTACCCACTTTACTTTCCTTATACATTCCAATTAAACAGTAAAAATGGGACTTGTTGCCAATGTTATTATGAGGCCAGAATTGTTTCCCAGAAAATGTGGCAACCCGAAATCCAATGTAATTGTGCCTTAAAGTAAACTTGTCATAAACCTGGGCTATTAATACCTAGTATGTCATGAAAAATGCATAGGCAGTAGTTATCTTCAGTTATAAATGCATGGCAAAACAAGTATTAGATCCAGAGCTGTGCCCTGCACTTTGCCTATTGCTCCTTTTACTTCACTAACTCAGGGTTTATGTAGATGGAACCAAAATTATCTAGAGATGTGTCGGATGTTATAATGGCAACCGAGAGCTGAGAGCTAATGCTGGTCACAAACATTCAAATATTATTTTAGATCTGGTCTGGTTAGATCTATCATTAAAAAAAATATCCAACCACTGTTTTGCTGTGTGTTTGATGCAGTAGTGGTGAAAAAAACACTTCTAGAAAGCCCTTGAAGTGACTTTAAAGCCAAACCCCCCACCCCCCATGCTGGTGTGAGGACTTACCTTAAATGATGCCTCTTGATCCGATCATCTTCTTCTTTCCAGTAGTTTTCAGGAGTCCCTCCAGCACTGGTGCCGGTCTCTGATCCAGCGCTGACTCCTGTCTCATGGAGTCTGTGCGGGTGCACACTGCCTGCATTGACTTACCCTGTGTCTCTCGTCTCCTGGCCAAAGATCTCTACTTCGCATGCGCCCGCCCCATTATCCTTTGCGGCTGCCCGGGAATCTTCAGATCTTCGGACGGGTGCGCGCAACAGAGACACAGGTAAGTTTTAACCCTTTTGTTAACTTTTTAAAATGTTTTTGCATATATGTACGGCTTGCTAGCAGTAGATATATGCAAAAACACGCAAGGGTTTAATTATCCTCTAAATGCACTTTGGTGCCAGGACTACATCTCTGCAAGTAACACGTTTAAAGCTGACCCCTACAGTATATTTTTATCAGAGTACCCCATACCTGACAGCTAGTCACCATGTTTTAGGTGTGAACCCATCAGCTAATCAGAACCATTCAGAGCAGCAGGTCTGATGGGCTGTTTTTTTAAACATGAGACAAAATTATAACCCAACACATTAATATACTGTATCCTAAGACAGTAATGTTTTCACATGATCGTAAGTGAGAAAACTATATTAACATGTTTAATGATTGTCTAAATTGACTCAGATAATTAAATCTTTGAAAATATCAATCTTTCAATCGTTTTCTTGGTTGTGTCATTGGTGACATGAAAAATCTGTTTACGTTGGTTTAATATATTTTACCTGCAACATTTTCATGGTAGTAAACATGCATATTTTGTAAGTTATATTTTCAGCATGTTTTATTAACCATGTTGATGAGATCAGGAAAGGACAGTTTCCCAGAATTTCACTGACTTTATCTCATTAACCATTGTCCCATGGTTTACCTATGACAGGGTTTTGCATAAAAAAAAAGACAACTGCACGCTTTATATTTGTCAAAACTGTTTGTTGACCCAATTTCTTCATTAATGATTGTGTTATAGCTATATGGGCAAAATACAGTGGCATAAAAAAGCTAATAATATAATTTATAGATTATAAAATGTTACCTACACTGAAACCCTGTCAAATATATGGTATATGGGTTTTACATTGATGAAATGCTAAATGATCAATATTTTGTTATACTGTTAACATTTGGACATCACTGTTATTATATTAGCCTAAGAGGTCTGGCCAGAGTTGAAATTGCAGTATTTGGCATACAGCATACCTGTTTTACAACACCTAAATTGAACTATAATTTACATACCCATAAGAATCTGTTTGGGAATTTACCTAATTGCCCTTTTATAAGCAGAGAGAAGGAAATGTGAGCTATAAAAATAAATCAGCTGCTTATATAAATGCAAAACGCAACACGCAGAGAACAGAACAGATTGATGTACAGACAATAACAGTATATCTCCCAGAAAAGGGTTGTTCTGATCTTGTGGGAATAACATGATAATAATTATATTTAACTAATTTGGCTTTTGAAGAAATTTGTTAAAAAGGGAAAAAAAGACTAATCAAATAATTGACATAAAACAGAGGTTCTTGATTAAAAGGATTTGGATCGAAAACTACAAAACCGCAATATATAAAAATAATATATTTTTTAAATGTTATTTATAATAAATTGTTGCAAAGCAGCATCAGTGGTTCAACAGCATTTCTCACATAGATAGTGTCTCACATTTCTGCTTCTTCTCTAGTGTACTGTACATGTCTGGGATGGGTGTTTGACTACTACCCAGGCCATATCTTAGGGTCAGAGGAGTTACTATCTCCTACAAATTTGGTGACAAGCTTGGCCTGAGCTGATCTCATCACATGACAAGTTGTAAAATACATAACATAATGAATATATCTTACCCTGCCTGTTTTGTCTGGTATCTTTATCAGGATATGCTTTATGAAAATGTGGCATCTGTAGCTCCGATCACAGAGATACCCGCCAAACTAGTTAAGCAGTATTGCGATTTTGATTACCCCATGGTGTCATGTCATCATTGAGTATTCCTTCTCTTAATCAAATAGTCTTATATACTTTCTCTAGCGTATGCCTAGCACTAGCTTATGCCCATCAACCCTTCTGGGCACCCACGCATCAGACGTTTTACAGGGGAACAGTCAAGCAGAATATGTTAGACTGGTTACCTGGCAACATTTCCTAAGGGGAATTTATCAAAACTGGACCAGACAAAATCTGGAGCAGTTGCCCAGGGCAACCATTCAGCTTCTCTCTTCAATTTGCTCAGTTAAGATTTGAAAATGAAAGAGAGAAGCTGATTGGTTCCCGTGCACAGCTGCTCCAGATTTTGTCCGCTCCAGTTTTGATAAATTCCCTTTATTATCTTTTTACATTTCAACCTAGTCATCCAATCTGGTGGTAAGAGCAAACTTCTTTGAAGTCTAATGGCCCCTGTAATGCTATGAAAGCTGTAGGCATAACCTAATTGAACATAGGCATCTCTTTATCATCCCTCTGTAGCAATTGTTTTTTTTCCCAGTCGATCCCTTGCACGCCTTAGCCAATGACTCTGACTTGGTGAAATTCAGTTGCAGATATGCCATGTGTTCATCCAGTGGTGTAACAATAGCCATAGCAGCCCAATATAATTATGGTTCTTATTATTGCTACTACCTTTGTTATTTTTGTTTAATGTCTATCAAACCACATCTGCCAGTACTTGTTCACTGTGGTGTACTGACTATACTGATAGCTCCTTCATTTACGCATATTTTATGTTAAGATCAGTGACAGGATTGTCACATTTGAAACTGCCAGGTGCCACAGAGAGTGGTCACCAGAAGGCTTCATAAAAATTTTGCTAAAGGGCCCCATAATCTGTAGTTACACCTCTGGGTTCATTGCTGCTCCTATTCTGTGGAGGACATCAGTGGATTTGGCTTCTGTGTCTCAGTTATCATAAACAGCTGCAATGTTTTTGTCATCAGTCTGCCAGTTTTGTTGGACATGTTTAATGTAATAGAAGGAGCTTAAGGCAATCTCTCTGTGCCAATCTACATGCATGTAAAGAGCCTCTCCCTGCACTGGGAGATTCAAGCAAACAGTATTAATGCTGAGGTGATATCTTCACAATCTCAGAAGACTACATCCTACAAGCAGTGTGATTAGCCTGGCAATGGCTATTTTCAATAGTATTATCTTTCTTTCATGGGCAAAGGAAAGATTCACTGTAATTACTGAGGGTGGATGGTACAATAATAGAAGGAGCTGCCAAGGAACTCTGCCCCAGTACACTTTACATAGATATAGCTATCAAGCTAGTGGATATTTCCAACCAGCTGAATATTGTGCCAAAAATAAATTTGTGCTATACTATAACATACAAAGAGCATGCTAGGAATTCTGAAAATCCATAATATTTTATAATAGTTTTAATTATAGAATAATGTTTGGACACTTGCATGAGAATGTACTTAAGTAAATACATAATTTGCTTGCTGACAACGAATGTGCATGTATACTTTCAACTGTGGATTATTAAGGATATCTTTCTCTACTTTGTAATATAATAGGAATTTTTTCAATAAAAACTATTCTTTAAATCTAGGTATCATGTTTGTACCGTATTTAGTGTTAATTTACATGGGTCATTTGAATTTTATTTTATTGACCGATTTAACCACTTGTATGTAGTAACTTCATTCCCAACACATTTTAAAATTACCCATGTAGCCTAGACCTTCTTCTGATTTCTGGCTGTAATTATTGACTGTAGACCTGACAAAAATCAAGAATGATGCTTAGTTTACAAACAAAGAAAAACAATGAAAAAATACATTAGAAGTCCTTATACTGATCTGTAGTATACTATATACAATGGAAGAACAACAAATTCTAAAACACAACTATCATCTTTTCACAGCCAGAAATTAAGTTTCAAGGAGCGCGTACGTATGGCGAGCCCCAGGGGGCAAAGCATAAAGAGCAGACAAACATCACTTGGCGATCGACGTTCTCCCAGCGCTGATATGGCTTCAGAGGCGAGTCCAACAAAGGTACAGAAAAGCTGGAGCTTCAATGACAGAACGCGTTTCCGCCCTTCTCTGAGGCTGAAGAGCTCTCAACCAAAACCAGTGGCTGACAGTAAGCTTTTTTTCTTTTATACCCTAGATCCCAAAGATAGCATGACAATATAAGTTATGGTACTTTATTAGAATACAATAATCAACAAGTTGATAATTTAACAGTCGAGCGTGCCGCTATAGCGTTAAAGTGACACTAAACTCAATATATAAATCTTTAAAAATGCATTGTACCATAACTATTTACAAAAATGTATCTTACTTATGTATCACTCAGCTGTAGATCCTCAAATCATCTCTGAATTGGTGCTGACACTGTCCTTCCTTCTGGAGGGTGGCTATTGTTGTTCCTAATGACCCCTGTGTGTGTTGTAAATTAGCCAAGGCTCCAAGCTCACTCCCGTGATGGACTACAATCTCACGTTTAGTTTACTAATTTGTATTTCAATTGAGATTGAAGTCCATCACGGGAGTGAGCTTGGAGCAGTGACTATTTTACAACACACACAAGGACAATGGGGAACAACAGTAGCCACCCTCCAGAAGGGAGGACAGTGTCAGCACCAATTCAGAGATGATTTTAGGATCTACAGCTGATATACACAAATAAGCTACATTTTTGTTAGTAGTTCAGGAACTTAAACACATTTTTAAGGTTTAACTCTTATGTTTAGTGTGAATTATAATATACTAACGTACACAAGTAACATTAGGAGAAGTTTAGAGGTCGATGATATGCAGAATAAAATTTGCCAGTATTCCTTTTCAGTGTTTATTTTCATGTTAAGTATCATTGTATTATACACATAGCAACATGTTTTTCTGTGTTTCCAAAGGTTTTCTTTTTCATTCAGTGTGTTAATGCCTTGCATCTCTGAAGCATAGCTAAAAAAAAATGCTTGTAAACTTTGGGGGATTTTAATAATTAATATTGCTGCTATCATCTGTGTTGGGTGACTTATTTGGATCTATGTCTTTTTTATATAACTAGTGGTATGATTCAGTCACACATATAAATACAGACATGACTGCCGTACGTTAATGAAGCTGTCTCAGACTGACTCTACCATCTATCTATCTTTTCCTTTGGGTGAGATTCTGCACTTAAATTGTTTACATATAAGATTACATTTAGACATTTTGCCAAGTAACACAAAGCGAACTGGTGATGGAATCATGATATTTTCAACTAGGATACAGTATGGTAAATACAATTATAATGACACCACTGCAAGTAAGATTAGACTGGTGTGATAGTAGTCCCACTGCTCACACAGTGTGTTGTCAAGAAACACAGAGAAACATTACTTAATAAGGCAATGCTGCTAATACACAAATGCCAAAGGCATAAATAAATTCTCCATGGCACATAAAATATAGTTCAAGTATATTTCTTTTTAGGTTCATAGAGAACTAATTAACTACAGGGCTTAGAAGGTTTCCTCATGAAATCATTCACAAGCAGATTTTCCTATAAGAATAGAAGGTAGATATTGATTAGATATTCTACTACAGGATCTAAATTCGTAATTTTTCTATTGGCGTGTTAATAGGAAGAAAAAGCCCAAACCCTTGGCTTTTACCATAACAGCAGCACACAGGAAGCTTTGTTACTTGTGACTTCATTCAACCAATTTCAAACAACATTTAACAAATCCTAAGATCTTTTTCAGCCTGAAGACAAAAGAAATTACCTTTTGATTGACCAAATAAATTCACTTGTGCTGGATCTTTATGAGCAATGCTGTCAAATGTTGTCACTGTTTTAATGCGGTATTAAAAATTAGATTCGGAAATGCATGCTCTTATAATTATTTAAAGCCAAACTCCAGGCAAACAACTTAAGTGTTAAATACATATATGTTTACTGTTTTACCTTCCAAATGATTTGTCATTCTCTGCAAGCAATGTTGTAATTGAGACACATCTCCCACACTGCACAGCCAGACAATGGAGACAATAGTAAGATCTGATGACCCCCAAACTGTGTGGAAAGAACAAGGTAGTAATACTGAACACAGTGCCCCCCTCATTTTCCCCACGATTCGCAAGGCTGAAACAAAAATTGTCAGACTTAAATCGTGTGCTTATTCTTAAAGCCCATTTGCACCTTTGCAGAGGTATTTTTAAAAAAGAGATATGTGAGCAATGTACACCGAGTGAACATGAACCAGGCATATGCAGTTGCTGAATATGAACCCATATTCATAGCTGCCTCTGTGTTTTGCAAGCAACCTGTGTATATTACAGCTGAGCTCTCCACCCCCCATTCATTAGTATTCATAGTGGCACCTCCCCCCCCCCACATTGTATATTGTGAAAAGGCAGAGCTGGTATGGAGTGATCATGTTACACAGAATCACAGGGAGGGAGGCAGCTGTTTAGGGCTGTTTAGAGCCTGCTATACAATCCGACCCCGGTGTCAGACTGAATTTCCTGTGGAGAAAATGTTACATTTCTAGGATTCAGGCCTAATAAAAAAGTTAATTAAAAAAATTAAGAAGGCTTTTAATGTGAGTCATGAAAATGTGCACATGTATACATCATCACTGCACCTCTACATTACCACATTAAATGCAATCACTTACGAAGGGGGAAATGGACTTTAAGCAGCCATGCCTAGGCAAGCTTAAGACACATTTGACTAACAGCAGACAAATTTAGAAGGAATGCAGAGGCATCATAAACCTTCACTATCCAGGTTCTTAAAAAGACTCGAAGGCCTGTCATAAATTGTCATGTCATAAACAAACTAGAAAGCAGTTGCAGAATATCCATCTGTCAGACTGGGGATAGTGACCAATTTTGACCTAAAACTGAACTCATGGAGCTATATTTTCATGATTACTGCTGTAATAGAATTACCTTAATCAAAAGTGGTCACACTCATGTAGAAGAAGATACAGTCAGGTAGACAGGTATATTACAAGAAACTTAATCCTCCTGTCCCATCACACTCCTGACCGGACAAAACCCAAATCCAACTGGGTGGGTGCGGTGGTGACAACGGATGCCTCCGTGAAATGTAGATAGATGAAAGTAGTCACTCGCACTCCATGATATTAAAGTCAATGCTGTTTATTGACTGAGATAACACACATCTCCTTAGCGACGTTTCGAAACCATGCGACCCCGTCCTCAGGCAAACAGAGACTCTCTGTTTGCCTGAGGACGGGACCGCATGGTTTCGAAACGTCGCTAAGGAGATGTGAGTTATCTCAGTTTGAGTTACTGCAAACTATTGATTTGGCATATCACTCATTAATACTCAGTCACTGCTCCAAACGTCCCCCAGCCTCTGACATCAGCTGTGGGTGCCAGCCAAACCTCAGGCCTTGTAGCCCCCCTTCTGCAAACAGAACTGAATGATTGGGTTGTGTAGTTGATGGCTTCAGTGCTGGAAGAGGTACAGGTTTCATTAGTGTAGGGATACTGCTTAGCAGACGAATGCTAAGGTACATTTTTCTTCTCCAGTTTATTTCAACTGAATGAGAAAAAGATTTGTGTTCATGATGCTGAACACACTATTATGTCCTGCCAGCTTTATTATCTCATTTCTGATTAGCCATGAAAAGAGCTGCATTACAGATTGACATACTGGTTTCATTTTCATCAGGCCATGTGACTGTAAGTAGCAAATGAAATAAATGCTAACCTCTCACATATCTGATTCACATAATCCTAATAAATTAATGTTTCACTTCTGCATAATCAACAGTAAATACTATGAATATAAAATTAACAATAAGTGATCAGTGCAAGTAAGTGAATATAAATGAGAGCTACTAAGCACTAAGGATATAAAATATATATCTATAAAGTGTATAAACAATAATGTACCGAGCTAAATAAATCAAAATATTTTTCAATATTTTTCAATGCAATACAATAAAAAAAACTATATATCATATATAAATACATCACATATGTGTGCCTTTAATCAAATAAGGCATAAGACATAATATATACAAAAACCGGACCTAAAGGGTCGGATATTGTTTGGGAGGTGGAACCGCACGCTTTTTTTTTCTTTTTAAATGTCATTTTTTTCTTTATAAATGTCACTTTTTGCTGCAGCAGGTTCTACACATCGTACAGATGCACCACGTTACAGGCAGTTTAAGGGGACCCCCCAAGGCACAATATTTAAAGTTAAAATCACTGCTCCTTTAAAAATTTTATTTTTTTCATTGATTCATGTCCCCCAGGGCAGTTCCCGAATCCTCATACCCTTGTTATAGCCAATACCGTGCATATAAGCCTTCAAAAAGGGACAATTTATTTTTTTATGTTCTGGCCCCATCATTGCATTGAGTTTGAGTTCGAATTCAAACTTTTTCCATGTTCTAAAGTTCAAATTCGAACCGAACTCGGGTCTGTTTGGCCTATCACTAGTCCAGAGTACTTGACAGAGTCCACGATACCAAGGGAATGTTTGAGAATGGGATTTACTATGGCAAAGTCCACAACAGAGTATCTATCACAACAAGGGCTTCAATATTTACCCATAATGAGGTACCCGGTGAGATGAAATTAGAGAAAAGGGAGAGATTTAAGCCACATGCAGTAATAGTAGTTGGTTAAATAAGCAAAAGACATGCCTCCGTGGCAACTAGGTTGAAAAATGACTCTTTTGGCCATTCGTGGTCTACCACCAGCCCAAAAAACTTGGAGAAAGGTACATTAGAGTAAGTGAAAAATATGAGCCAGGATGTATATCGATCAAAAAGGATAAAGTAGTTTAGGAAGTAAAGACATTTTTAGTGCCAAAATTCTGTCAACCCATGATATTTGATAGCGTTTCCAGGATTCCAACAACATTTTTGATTGTCTTATCAAAAGGGGGATATATTGCATTATAGTGTAGGAAGTAAAGAAATATTTAGTGCCAAAATTCGCATGTATCCATTTTCGTTTTTGGATACGTTTATATACGTTATTTCTTTCATTCAGAAATTCATAGATATTCGCCGATACCACTTAGTAAACTGAACGTGAGATTCTAGTCCATCACAGGAGCTAGCTTGGAGCGGTGGCTACTTTACAACACACAGGGACCATGGGGAATAAAAGTAGCCACCCTCCAAAAGGAAGGACAGTGTCAGCACAAATTCAGAGATGATTTGAGGATCTACGGCCGAGAGATACACAAATAAAATACATTGGTTTTAATAGTTAAGGTAACTCCTGAGTTTTGTGTCACTTTAAGCCCCACCATCTAACAATTAACTCTGAAATGCTAATGCGTCTACTGCTGCCCTGAGGTTATGACATTGAAAAATGTATGGCAAGAGTGGGGCATAGCACCAGGGGGTGGTGCTTAATATTGACATAAATAGATGATGGATTTCTATATACAGTCTGGCCTTAAGATCCAAGGGGCTCCATTAGACTAAAGGGTTTATATCTGAAGACTATGTTCCTTTGTAGGTCTCTGAGTGTGCACTGTCACTTCAGGCACATGTTAAGCCAGGGCAGATTTACATATTAATAAGATTATTTACATAAATAATCTACAATATACAAATATAGAAAAGACTACACATATTCTTAAATTGGTGACTGAAGTTTCAATGAATTTTAGTAATTTGGTTTAATTTAAAAAGAGAATCATGGCCACTGTTTGTAATGCCTTGAATCTGATTTCACATATATTCTCTGACTAATTATTCACCTTTCCTACAAAAATACACTGTCATCTGGATTTCGTCTTGTCATTTTAAATTCTAGGCTTGTTAACATTCAACATATTTATAAACCAGCAATTATTATACCTTTTAATGTTTGCTACTCTGTACCAGGCTAGTCTTAGAAGTTTCAATGATTTGTTATTGAAACCTGCTCTGCACTTTTACCCAAAACCACATTTGCTGCAAATTCAACACATTTTATATGGGTGGATGCTTCTTTTACACTTGATCTTTGAAACATCTGATGTGATCTTTATAAATAAGGTGGATTTTAAGGGCAAATGTATCTAGGCTTATAAATGTGCCTGGATTTCTTGTGTATATGCCCTTGTATGTGGCTTCATTAAAAGAACATACAGCAAGCATGTGTATCATCCAGTAAACCCTACACCAGAAAAGGATGGCACTTAGACATTATTTTGTGCACCTTCAAAGTTAGATTCTGATTTTATCTTTTTAGTTGATGTCAATCTTGGAACAGAGGAAGCACATGATGAGAAAGGATGTCATTGCGATGTATCAGTTGAAGATCTAACCCCAGCTCTTAAAATGGTCATCCGAGCGATCAGGTGAGTAAAAATCACTGCCTACATTTTCACTGTTACTTTTCTAATACATTGAATGGATTTCTCTGCTTTCTTGATATTATGGCAAAAATAATAAATCTTCTTACAAAACAATTAGAGAAAATAACAGTCATCTGTTAATGGAGCAACATTAATAACATTTAACCTTTACAGCTTTGTAACTATCAATTATAACTAAAGTTTATCTAACACACAAACCACTAAAATCTAGAGCAGACGTCCATGATTTAGTCAAATGTGGGCAAAAGGTTGAAATGACTCAAAGCAACCAATTAGGCTCAGCTTTCTTTCAGTTGGCTTGGATAAGAAATGAGAGGGGGAAAATGGGATCAGGAAAGTAGGATTTAAGGTGGGACGTGGACATTAGGTAACAAACCCTTTGTTTACCAGTAAAGCATGCTAGAATGAAAGCTGCCAGAGAAGTTTGTGCTGACAGGCTGGGCTGTGGAATTAAATTTATTTTTGATGCTCAGTCTATCTCATTTTGTTATTGTATCAAATGTAAAGATTAGTGGATTAGCCAGTAGATGTGGCTTTCAGTGGCTCAGTACAATTGCTATGTTTTTTCGAAACCACTATTGAGGTAACCTTTCCCATAAGATCTCGTAAGACTGTGCAGTTTACAGATGAGATTTCCCATTAGGGCATTGCTGATGTAGCCTTCCCAGGATGAATCTATGCGGCCAGGGCTACATCACAAGTGCTTTACTCAACCAGGAAGTGGAAAACAGTAATTTTAAGTAAAAGCAAAGTAGGTTTAACTAATAAATGAAAAATTAATTCATATCAGCATATTCAGAGCTGCATGCTGATATGATTTTTTTTTGAAAGGGGGTAAGGGTCCGCTTTAAGAAATTCACATGACTCAACATGTACAGGTAAATAAACTATGCATGCTCTTTAAATCCAAACTCATGAGCAAATTATGCATACTGTGATGTTTGGGGAATTAGCTGGACCGCAGGACACAGGCTTTCTCAGACAACCTGCATTTATTTTCCACAGCAGCAACAATAAACAGTCATTTCCTTCAGTACAGCAAAACAACTTAAAAGTATGCTTCCTTCCGCATAGAAATAATACACTGTACCGTTTGCTTCCTTCAGCACAGGAAAGAATAACAGCCTCACCGGCTTGGAGGGTTTCAGTCCACAAGGTTATCACACTCTTAACTTCAGAGTTTCTCTCTCTCAGCCCACAGGCTCCCAGTAAAGTTCAGTTGCTTCAAAGCACCAGTACTTCCATCTGCTCCACAGCCTTGTCTGCAAACATTAATCAGGGCTTCTCTCTCCCCCTCTGTCTCTAGCTTCCTATCCTTTTGAACACACTTACTGCAGCAACTGTTAACCCATTTCTGTCCCTTAAAAGGGACCACAACCCGAACAAAGGGAAATATACACTTCTCCCAGGACCCATCTTCTGGCGTCCTGTACAATACCTACAACTTTTAAAACCGGTAGCGGTAACAACTTTTCCTTTATTTCAACAGAATTATGAAGTTTCATGTAGCAAAGCGAAAATTCAAGGAGACCTTGCGGCCATATGATGTGAAAGATGTGATTGAGCAATATTCTGCTGGCCATTTGGATATGTTATGCAGAATAAAGAGCCTCCAAACACGGTTAGTAAATAGTAACAGCTTTTAACTATGGCGATATTTGCAGTTGATAACAAACTACTGTATCTTTATTTGAATTTCAGATGGAATTGTTCAAGAAGTATGTCCCTTTATTGGAATTTATTGGGCTAAAATATAACTCCACCTAACACTCATAGTTGAGAAGAAGATTTACACTTAAGCTGGGCACACCCTGAGTGAATTTCAGCCGATTCAGCAGGAATCGGCTGAAATTCGCACCGTTGGTGACCCTATCCCCTCGACAGAAGTTGATCAATAGATTGGCTTTTCCTGAAGGAACATGTTGGAAATTCCTCAGCCAAATGGTGCTTGCAGCCAACCAGCTGCAAGCTCCATTGGGGTTTTCTGACAGTGGCGTTGGCTACTGTCAGAATACAAAGCTCACAGCAGGAGATTCATTCATCTACACTGTTCAGAGTGTATGGAGGAATATGTTATATTTTTTTCGTTCAGCCCACAGGTTGAATGAAAAAAATATAACAGTGTATAACCTACCAAGACATTTAATATGTTGTCACTTCACTTATTACTTTCTACACCATCTAGTCTGTTACGTTCCCAAAATGTTGTCAGCTGGAGATCCCATATTGTTCTTATGTCATCAGATTTAATTTGTGTTTTCACTTAAAGGAGAACTATGGGGTTAAGGCTTTTCCCCATAGTTCTCCTTAGGGTAATGGGAGGACACAAACTAGCATCCTCCCGTCACCCTAGGCTCAGTATACCACGAGCTGTAGCTGTATATTGAGACGCCGCAGTTGAAGCGGATCCCGACAATTATGTCTGGATCCGCCCAGCTGCGTGACTGACAGCTGGCTCTGCCTATCTAGAGGCAGAGCCAGCTGTACGCGCCCCCTCCCCCGTCCGTTCCGCCAGTCAGCGCTGGCGGATCGGAGCGGGGAGGGTGCAATCCAGCCCCTCCCCTGTCACGGCAGAGAGCCATGACAGGATCGAGAGGTGAGCGAATGCCAGTATGTGTTCGCTCACCTCCCGATCTAATAAGCCGACCTGTGTAGGCTCAGTATACCACGAGCTGTAGCTGTATATTGAGACGCCGCAGTTGAAGCGGATCCCGACAATTATGTCTGGATCCGCCCAGCTGCGTGACTGACAGCTGGCTCTGCCTATCTAGAGGCAGAGCCAGCTGTACGCGCCCCCTCCCCCGTCCGTTCCGCCAGTCAGCGCTGGCGGATCGGAGCGGGGAGGGTGCAATCCAGCCCCTCCCCTGTCACGGCAGAGAGCCATGACAGGATCGAGAGGTGAGCGAATGCCAGTATGTGTTCGCTCACCTCCCGATCTAATAAGCCGACCTGTGACAGTTTCATTGTCACAGGTCGGCTAGAACTATGAGGTGACACATTTCCGCATTAAGGCACCTTTGATGAATGTGGCCCCTAACTCTGAAGTATCTGAGTGTCCTAAAGATGGGAACATACAGTATATAGCAGAGCAGACTCACCTGGAGACATCTCTTTCCACCTTAAAGGTACAGCATCACATCAGCAGCCCAGATATTGCCTTTACAAGGCAGCTGAAAAAGCTAAGATAGCATTCTCTGAGATCTGTTTTCATGATGAAGAAATATTGAAAAAAAAGAAAAAAAATATTTTCCTATAATGTTTTCACAACCCAACTTTTATGCAATTTGCACTGCCCCACATGTTTACCCTAAAATATTACTGTCAATGTAAGTGCAATTTATATGTTATGTACTGTAGAAGAACAGTAAAGCTACATGTGCATTTCTGCATTTTACTTTGTTCCCCTTTTAACTCTACTTTGTGATGCATGCAAGGAACAATAACCAGCTTGCGTGAATTGTTAGCAGAAAACTAAGATAAGTTGGCAAGGGCACAAATTAGCATAGTGGCCATTTTTACCATTTTGCGATAGCTAAAATGACATTGCGTTTACTCATGTGAGCATCTGACACTCATGTAGTAAATGCAAACGTCATTCAGATAATCCAACATCATTGATAGGAGGTGGGGATAAATCTGTGGACAGAATACTTTCTTATATTTACATATTTTATTCATCATTAGGGTCTCGGTCAGATCAATGGAGACCTAATCCAGCCCCTCCATCCAGCTCTGTACCAACTAATTGTGATTGCTAATTGTGATCTATCGCTGGCTGCAATCAGTCAGCAATAGATCACTGCAGCTAAAAAGGAGAGGCTAAATAGAGCTGCTTCATTTCTGCCTGAGTCTCTGTCCTGATAGAAGGTGCCATGAAGTCACGTTGTTCCATAGAATTGGTATCATTTTAAAACGGCACTGGGAAAAATATCCGCTGTCCCAGAGCCATTTTAAACAGGCATCTAGGACCCAAGTAGTTACTTTCAAATGTCGTTCTTTCTTAAACCAAAATGAAGATGATGGTTTCCTTTAAAGGCATCACTAAATCTACAACATGGGAAAAAGCTGATGAAGATGCAGTGGATATATTGACTTAAATGACCTCACGCAGGCAAAGGTCCCTTTCACATGTCAGTATTTCAGGGGGATCTGATAGAAGCTCAGTGTGTCACTCTATGGGCAGCTGGATGTGAACAGATGTGTGTCTGTCTTCATCTGAATACCCTCAACTCCATCTAGGTCCGAAAAAAATGGAACAGGGTTGCATTTTGACAGACCTCATTGTGACGATCGGAAGTAACAGACACATGTCCACTTACATCCAACTGCCCATAGACCTAATACTGGCCCACAGAGTTAGTTTTTTTCCTATGTGGCAAAATGGAGGAAAAAACTAAATGGAAACGGGTGTCATGAAAGTGAAATCTGTACTGTTCACTTTGTGCAAACAAAGCAAAGCTACAGGCTTTCTTGCCCCAGCAGACCATACTTACCCTTCCTTTGCAGGTAGCCACCACTCTATCAGCTGCTAGGTGCCTTACTTCATGTAAGTACTGGGTCAGTCACCAAGCACCAGGATGTCACATTCAGGAAAGTCCATGACCCTTAGTAATGGAGCTGAACAGAGCAGCAGAGGAGCAAGAGAAAGCTAAGAGTATACTCGTGGGAATGGGGGCATTAACAAACTTGTTGCTTTGCTGTACATGAGCAAGGCACAGGTGAACTTTAAATGCTAGTTGCCTGGCTCTCATGTTTACCCACTTGCCTCCCGTCACTGGCCCAGAGCAAGTAAGCAAATAAGGACTTCTGACTTCTCTGTCTTATCTATTCAGCATATTTGTGAAGTCAAAACTTCTAATCTGCATACTTGTTCCAGGTCTAGACTCAGAAATGCAACATGCATTTCTGGAAAAAGGACACCAGTAACAGTCCCCTGTATTTCTGTTATGACAGACTAATTTTATATAAAGATGCATTTCCTCTAACTTTCATTAGTAGGGTAAAAAATGCTTTGAAGTGAAATGACAGCCAAAACTTTTTTGATTGCAATGCCGCTATAAACCAAACTATGCTTCATTTTTTTTTATCACTTACAGGGTTGACCAAATTCTTGGAAAAGGTCAAATAACAACTGATAAAAAGAGCAGGGAAAAAAATGTTTCTGAAATTGAGACTGCGGATGACCTCAGTATGTTGGGTCGAGTGGTTAAAGTTGAGAAGCAGGTACAATTTTTTTTATAGTTTTTGTTATAAATCTTGCCATAAAATACCTTATTAAGGGAAAACTGTACTGAATTAAATATGTAGGCTACCATTACTGTCATCTGTTTTTGGAAATGCTAGTTGCTGGACTCTCGTGTTCATCTACTGCTTTTAATACATTCTGAGTCATGGGCCCAGAAATGGTAAGTAGATAAGGAGTTCTGTTTTCACTTTTTGCATGTTTGTTACAGTGCAGTAACTATGAGATTGCCAAGCAAATAGCATTTTCTGTAGGAAGTCATCAATATCACCTTGCATCTTTCTCTTAGTAAAGAGATCCTTTAATGGACAAAGGCAGTTAAACTATATAGCCAGAAAGCTAAACTATTTGTAGAAGATGACTGTATTTATAGTTCTCAATGGAAGCATTCTAGATAATACAGTAAACTCCCAGTTATCCAGCACCCACGGGGTTCGGTAGCCGCGAGATAACTGAAGTTTCTAGTTGCTTGAGAGTTAACAGTAACTGCAGATATCTGCCAATGTCTCTTCATATGCCATTGGACTTCAAATACTGGGGAACTATAATATGCATATATTGACTTCTCTTCCTAAGGTCAAGGACTGGCCAGCTTCCTAAGGTCTCCTGCTCCTTGCTGTTGGTTATTGAGCCTGCCCTTCATTCTTGAGGACCAATAGCTATCTGTGGGAGTATGGAGGGGGTAGACGTCTGGAAGAAAAGGTGATATTTGTATATCAGAAAATCCTAGGTTTTAGGGACCTAAAGCACCCAAAGAAACTTTAGGAGGTACACACGGGCACCTGAGGATGTTAGCTTTTTATTTCCAGAACATATTTTGATTGGAAAGGTTCACTTTAAATATTCCTAATGTGAACATAGAACTACATTTACTGCTAGAGCGTTATTACATGCACACTACCATACAATAATGACATTGAGGAGCCATAAATCATTCTTATACTTTGTATTTTTTGGGATTAACAACATGATGTAGACAGGGTCCACCAGGGTTTAAATTGGGCTCTGTCCAAACATTTTATTAATGAGTATTGTGTGTCCACAATAACCAAGGGTTAAAAAAACACAGCAGATGAGCACAAGAAAGGGAAAAGTTCCATTAGCCAGAAGCACACTTGATCCAGTAACTCCAAAAAAAATTGACGGTATCCACACAGTAGCAATTGAGAACAAGATAAGAGCACACTGATCTCGTGCAATTACAACAATATATTTAATAGTAATAAAAGTAAATACACATCTCGCAAACATCAATGAGGTAGCAGTGTATTTCAGGCCAGTGGAGCATCGTCAGCAGCAACCTGCACGCTGTGGCCAATACGGGGCTGTGATATAGTAATTGAAGTTGTCAGAATAGCCCATTAGACAGGTCCCGTTGTGAGATCTCAAGCCAGTGGCAAACAGTCACCTGGGGACACTTCTAAAGGCAGGGTACAAGATGCTATATTATACCTAGGGTTGTTCCTGGTTGACTACTAAAGAGGTATATGCAGACCTGTTGATTTACAATGCATATAAAATGTTTGCTATATTTATTTATTTATTTATTTTATTAAGACAGTGTAAATGCTAAAGGTGTTTACTCTCCCACTTGCAGGTGCAATCCATTATTTAATAGTAATAAAAGTAAATACACATCTCGCAAACATCAATGAGGTAGCAGTGTATTTCAGGCCAGTGGAGCATCGTCAGCAGCAACCTGCACGCTGTGGCCAATACGGGGCTGTGATATAGTAATTGAAGTTGTCAGAATAGCCCATTAGACAGGTCCCGTTGTGAGATCTCAAGCCAGTGGCAAACAGTCACCTGGGGACACTTCTAAAGGCAGGGTACAAGATGCTATATTATACCTAGGGTTGTTCCTGGTTGACTACTAAAGAGGTATATGCAGACCTGTTGATTTACAATGCATATAAAATGTTTGCTATATTTATTTATTTATTTATTTTATTAAGACAGTGTAAATGCTAAAGGTGTTTACTCTCCCACTTGCAGGTGCAATCCATCGAGTCAAAATTGGACACCCTACTTGATATCTACCAGCAGGTCTTAAAGAAAGGATCTGCCTCAGCACTGACTCTGGCATCATTTCAGATGCCACTATTTGAATGTGAACAAACTTCGGATTATCAAAGTCCAATAGACAGTAAAGATTTGTCCAGTTCTGCACAGAACAGTGGATTCATAACAAGATCAGCTAGTGCCAACATGCCTCGGGGGTTACAGTTTGTACTTACACCAAATGAATTTAGTGCACCTGCTTACTATGGATTTAGTCCAGCAATGCAAAGCCAAGCAACACAGGTGTCAGCAAATGTAACTGATGGACCTGTAACTATGGTAACAAACAGTATATCAAACCAAATAAGCCAGGCCTCAAAGCCAACAGCACCAACAACATTGCAGATACCAGCTGCACCCTCCTTGAAACATATAAGTAGACCAGAACCAATTCACATAATTCCTATGACCACAAAAGAAGATATTTGTGATGTCACCTCCTGCCTTGTTGCCTCAAAGGAAAGTGAACAGTCTGCGCAACCTGGTTTAACTAAAAATTTTGTAAGGAGGAAAAGCCTTGATGCAAATAAGACGGTACCGTCTACGGTTCCCTTTACACATAAGGATTTTGGAAAATCAATTTCTGTGCAAAATCTGATTCAGTCAACAGAAGAACTAAATGCACAGCTTTCATGCAGTGACTCAAGTGTCTCAAGAGGCAGTCAGGAACTTTATCCACAATGGCGGGAGTCAAAGCTTTTTATTGCAGATGAGGAGCTGGAAACTGAAACTTATGATGCTGCCTGTGAGCCTACTGTTGAAACCACTTTATTATCTGACTCTTTGAGGACTGGAATAGCAGTTTCATCTCAAAGCATTAGCAAAACTAGGGATGGTGCAAAAAACCTAAGCCCTCCTCATGTAAAACATAAGTAATGTTTTTGAGTTGTTTTTTGTGCTTATGGTTTCTTTATTCATCCATATCATTGCATGAATTATTTTGAAAGCCCTTAAGATTATGAGTGCTAGAAGCTAGATTTAGAAGGAAACTGAAAGGCAGGCCTTTTGTTGGGCCATCTCTTCCAGCTGCATGAAAATGCATGTTTAAAGTGAAGAGAACAAATTAAACAAGAATATACTTATAAATCAAAACAACTTTAACCCTAAAAACTTGATTATATATTAGTTGGCGAAAATGTTTACTTGCCTACCAAGCAAAGCCACAGAATATTGTAACATTATTTTAAAAAAATTACCCTGTAATTTCACGGCACTGTTTTTCAAAGAGTCCAAAGCGCCTTGATTCTGAAGAGATTCAGGTTCTGTCCAAAGCTGAAGCGTATAGTCATGTTTACAATGAAAAAAAATGTTACAGCTGCTAGCAATTCTACCAAGAAACGTAAAAGGACTTGTACCGCTGCTAGTTGTGACGACAAGTACACATTAACTCACTTCTTTTCATGCACACTTAAAATGAATGTTGATTTCTGTATATTTTTTGGTAAATTAGTGTTGTGACATAAATAACATTGACATCACTTTCAGGTTTTTTTCCTAGGAACATTCTTTTCCTATACAAATTTATAACACATGGAAAAGGTCACTGCAGTCTTAATATTAAATGCTTTACAAACTCTTTCATGAAGGACTAAACCAGTTTACTATGAAATAAGTTCTGCCTCCGTATTTCTTTTTAAAGTATTCTTGGATGTTAAATAATAGGGTTGTTATGTGAACATATTTACATAATGTATATTGTATGGAGTCCATGTCTATAAATTTACTACCAGGGACCTAATTTCAGAGGAAAGAGAAGGACTGTGGTCAGCGCTACTTCTTTTTTTCATTGACAGCCTTCTATCTATCAAAGCCATTTTTTGCAAATATCCACACACAGTCCTAGTCGCACTTCAGATGAAAACTCCTTCCATTCTCAAATAATGTCCCTGACTTACAAACGAATTGTTGTGTTCTCTTGTTTATTTTATGTGAACAAAGGATCGGATGATCAGTTCCAAAAGATGACTGAAGCACAAAAGCTAATTACTGTTTGCCATTTCATATGCCATTTTAACGTTTTATTTAATTAGTACAGCATTAGTTTGATCTTACTAAAGCTTGTTTACTAAAACCTTTGTGACATTATCTAGGGTATCTCAACATCTCAGCTCATACTAGAAATAACCTATTTTGAATGTCTGCATCTTTTTAGCCAAATAACAACTCTGTACATTGAAAAGTATTGTATAATGTGTACATCTATACATATTTTTTTTCTTTCATTTTATTTTAAGAAAATGTTTCACGTGCCTTTATTTCATTGTACATTGCCATATCTTATAGTTATGCATTTTGGTAGGAGATTATAAAATATAAAAACAGTTTTTATTTTAAAGAAAAAAAAAAAGGTTTTTGTTACTTTGCTTCTTTCCTTCATTAGGCTAAACAGGTACCCTGAGTCAATTTAATTGGTAATTTATTCACACATAACTTGGTAAACTGTATTTGCCTTAAATGAAATGCTTGAGAGCTTGAAATTTACTAGTTTTAATTTAATTTATTTAATAAAATTTTGTGCACATAACTGGGCAATTCTATGAATCATATATAAAATAATATATTGGATATTTTTCCTTAAAGTGGAAATAAAGAGGGGATATGTTTTAATTTGCTCGCTTGATCCTGTTGATATTTTTCTATTGCACATTGTTGAATGTTTGGTATGAAATCATGGTAATTAGAAACAATTTTGTTATATGTTAGTTTCACATACATACAGCATTATCCGATCAAACAACAACAGATCAATCCATTATTACATGAGAACCCAGAACAAATATAATTACAATAGTTGATACAGAAATGTACTTTTGTTTGCCTGGAAAACTATAGAGAAGGGTGGCAACTAATCAGGATATTTTAAAATGTACAAAGAGATTTTATTGGTTATTATGGGTAATTATTCCAACCTTACTCCAGTTTTCTTTTCTTTTGCTTTTGTATATTAGTGTTTGACACCAGCCAAATACCCATTGTGTGATCAGTATTGTTAGAAGAAAGAATTAAAATGTATCCAAACCCAAAACTTTGTTTTGAGCAGAATGGTTTGAACCGCTGTCAGGTTTTGATTGCTGTCATTTTCCCTGTTAGGGAGATTTACTTTCTCTATTTGTCCTAATAACAAGTTAGGGAAAATCTTTTAATGGGAACACTTTTTCCAGTTCCAGATCATGCTTCACCAGCTTCTTCTCCAGCCACAGCAGCCGAAGAAATGACAGGCTGAAACCGGAAGTGACAACATCCTCATCACTTCCAGGTTTAGTGACAGGAAGGGAGATCAGACACTGAAAGTGTGCTAGGACACATCTGATAATGATATGTGCATTAGGGTTATATTTTCCAACGATTAAAAAAAATTGCCTTTACTTTGACTTTTGTGGTGAGTACATGATCTACAATTCAGTTAGTATGTTGTCACTTCCAAAACATCCACATGTAGTTTTACTAAACCATAGCCTGGAGTAAGAATACTCTCCCACAGGCCACTTGCACTAAAATTCAGTGCAACATTAGGTTAAAGACAATGTATAGTGGTTTGTACATATGCCTTTCTTTATTTATCATGCTCAGGACATGCAAAAATATTGTTCTCTCATACCATGTCAACATGCAGTATTGCATATTATTATTATGCAGTGTTGTTTGTTACCAGCAGATAATACCTAGTCTCCTTTTAACATTTGGTAAGATTTGTACACATTTAATTAATGCTTAGCTATATATCTAAATGCATTAGGATTGTTTCACCAGGAAGGGTGGGATAGGGTATTTTAAAAAGTTGTTCCTTTTAAGGCATTACCAATGCATTAAAATCAATCATCTTGACTGCCTGTTGCCTCACCTCCATGAATTAGCCTTACTTGTCCCAGCTTTCAGTGAATGTTGAAGTATGCAGCATGCAAGGTTTATATAGGCCTTGCAAGTGATGTTGGCACTCAGGAAACTTACCATTGCGCTAAAAGGAAGGTTCATAAATACATAACATAACTATCTTAAAATAGACCTGTGTACCAAATTTCCAGAAACAAATAGGTTAATCTTTGCAGTGTATTATTTTCTCCAATTTTCATTAGTTGCTTGGTCTGCTCTGGCTATATATAGGTCTTTGGCATCCACTGCCATGCAAATACAAATCAAATGCAAAGGTTAAGATGTCAGATAATTTTAAGTATCTTGGCTCCGCAAGGATTTTCAGATTTGTTTTCAGCTCTAAATAATCTGTACACATTATAATAAACAGAATACATTTGAATAATATTCACTGAGGAGCTATTATTCCTATTATTGCAAAAGGACAACTGGCATCTGTCAATCAGAGGCACAGGTCAACAATTTATATGTCAGCAAGTCTGGCATGGAGAACTGTGCTGCCGCTACAGTTAAAGTTAGCTGTTTGTCAGGCATGTAATGAGGCTTACATAGGTTGAAATAAGACATAAGCCCATTTACATTCAACTAACAGAAAAATTGAATAAATAAACACACTGAAAACCACCATATACAGAACCCTATACCCACAGTTGATCCAGACGAAGAGAAAACAAAACATATAAAGCGCAGTCCAATTTGCTCCAACAGCGGAAAATAATTTCTTCCTGATCCCCGATGGCAAGCGGATATTCCCTGGCTCAACAATCTCTGATGTTATTAATTATAAATGTTTATATTTAGTTATATTCTTTGCATTTAGGAATAGGTAGTCTTTCATATTATGCTTTTGAAAGAAGATCTGAGCCAAAGTGATTTACAGGGGCCTGCCAGCCCCTCTTACCAAATAGCAGCCGACAGACCTGGTTATGGCATCAATGGTTCTCAAGAGAAGTATATTTGCAAACAACATGAACTTATTGAAACATTTTAACTCCATGTTGACTTTTGTTGGAGGATAAGGGAAGGCATCATATGCGTACACTACACAGCTTTAAAGATCTAAAGGCATGGTGCATCCATGTTAATGCACTGTCCCTGGTTTGTCCCCCTAAATATACTTTAAAATTGTTCAGAATAGCTTGCAATCCTATGTATAATACTGTTACAAAGAAACAACTGGAAAGGTGACAAATAGTTTGTAATAATATTATTAGGTTTGCTGAATGAATGGGGGCACATAATAAATATATAGCAGAGTTCTGAAACTTGACTACAAAAATGGAAAAACACTGCATTACAAAGAGCTACAGCCTCCAGCCACCTAGTTCCTGGTCTCCTGTTGTTGAATCTGGTTGCTTCACCAGCACCTATGTCACATATGTGTTCTGTAGTGAACATAAAGGGTGTATCTGGCACACCCCTAAGTGTTAGATTATTCTGACTCCGATTGTTTTATTAGTGATTTTCCCCTTGCTGAGACCTATATGCCTGGCCTGTATAAGAAGATATAATCACTGCGGACAATCCTTATCAGATAGCTGAACTCACCAAATACAGGGTGAATGACGGGAGTCGGACGGTTTTTAAAAAAACAGTACTTCATAGATTTTCCACTCAAAATATATTTATTTTTTACAAAATTTCAAGACATGCCATTTGACTTACTTATTCAGTTATGAAAATAATGTAATTTAGATGACGACCATCCTCTTGAATGCAGCTTTCAATCCTTCACTATAGAAAATATGCATGTATTCCTCCTCAACTCCATCTAGTGGCCATAATGCAGTACTACATTACATACATTCAACCAGAAAAGAAAATATATCTAAGAACATTCATTTTTTGCATCTAGTCCCACAGAATGAATGTTAAAAAGATTTGTAGGGTGAATGACTGTGCAAATTGGTTATAAATAGACCCCTTAATGTCTGGCACATCAACAGTTATTTATCTGTATTTGTAGCATGTTTCAAGGTATAAAGCAATGGAAATGTGCATGTATTTCAGAGATTTTTTGGCCACAAGGGAACGCATATTCACAGGGCTGAGTAGAATTGTGTCAGTGCATTGAGGAAGTACATTCTTTGGGCACTTCAATAAGTACATTTACAAATTTTTGGATCGATATGTATTTAGGAGTGGGAAAGAACGTATGGAGATTCAATATAGAAATACATAATTATTTGTAGTTTTTGACCATATATACCCTTTAATTTCTTTGTGCAATCTGCACCTGTGCTGCCATGTATATTGCTACAATACACTCCAATGGCCTGGATAGTACTCAGTTCCAGGGCACACACACATTTTTCTTCGGTGCCTTTAAGGATGGTTCTGCTGAGAACAGTTACGTTTTGATTTGCCATGTAACTGGTAGGTAGTAATCTCCTTCTATCTTGGGCCACATGTGTCCCCTGGACACAGGAAGGAAAAGGTAGTCTGCAGTTGAAGTAGAGTAAAGGTGATCAAGGAAGAGTTTATACTAGGCAGATGAGACTGTTCCTGCATTTCATTGCCTATGGAATGCTGAGACCTGTCTGTTGCTCATGTTTTACCACCGATGTCTCTACTGCCCACAAATTGTTATGATT